ATTTTTAAGTTAACCATTATCCTCCAAAAGCCAGATGCACTGCTTTCGAAACATCTGGAATTGTACTGCCAGTGCAGAGGAAAAATACTGGGAAGCTACTTGTGGTTTGTTTCGGTTGACATGGAAAATAGCATGCTTGCTGACTAATCAGAGGAAATGCTAACTCTTGTTTCTCAGGCAGTGATGTAGTTGATGTGGAGTAAAAGGGCATTTTGGGCCTTTCCAGGTTTGGCCCTTTCCTTGAGGCCAGCATGGAAGGATTAATTGCTGCTTCTCGCCTCTCATAGCAGAGAGTGTCAGTTGAAGGCAGCCAATCCTGAAATGGAAGGAGTGGTTCTTAGCTGAACATGAAATTAAGCTGTGAAACTCCTTGCTGCAGGTTGCTATGGGTGAAAAGTTTATGGGGAGGTGTAGAGAGGTGTCATTCCAGTGTTTTCTTTTCACACAAACATCTAATTTCGGTCGCTTTAGAGGCAGGATACTGGCTTCAGATTTTTCTTCTAGTTCACTACTGCTGTTCCTGTGTACTCAAAGTTGTTGATGCTTTTTGATCACAGCTAAAACCCGACACAAGTATGTTGGTCTTTATAAGAAGCAAGTGTGGCTTTTGGGAATTGGACAAGATTGTATGACGTCAGGTCAAAGGATATTTTCTTGCATGAGGAGATGTATCTGATGAGCAAGTAGCAGTAGTTAGCTTCAGAAAAGGAAATCTGTTATCCCATTCTTACTTAATAACAAAAGATCACTTTTTTAACATCTTTTTACAATTTTGTGTTTACTTTTCCCTTCTTTTTCTTTTTTCTCTCTTTTGTGGGAGGTCTCTGTAGTGCTGAATCAGTACAGTATTAGTGGTTCCTCCAGTAGAGCTGAAGGCTTTTAGTAGCGGCTGAAAGCCACTTCACGCACAATTTCCGTGGCTGCCGGGAGAACGCATCGTGGAGCAGAGGAGAAAAGGCAGCGTTGTTACTTTTATGAATTTGTTTCTATTGGAGGAAAACAGGAAAGGTTCTCTCCCTGATCTTTTTCTCTTTACCTGTAAAACAGATGAGAGGTGTGTTTTGTTATGGGGCAGATAATTAGGTGCTGCAGCGTATAACACATTTAGCAGATGCATTGGTTGGGAAACTTTTATGCTGCATGAAATTATTAGTAATTATTAACTGTTTTCCCAAAATTTAGTTTATTCAATGGGAAGACCTTGTTTTGTGCTATATTGCTTTATTAATGTGACCTGTTTTGCTTTCTGCTTGATTCCTTGTCCTTTAGATATTTGCATATGTAATCTTTAGGCAACTTTAAATCTTCAGCTGTGAAGTGACTCCTTCCTCAGGATGCCCATACTAATTCTGGGGCACTATAACAAGCTCAGGACTCTGTACATTAATTTTTAAACACTGACCGCTATCTTTCATTGCTGTTAGCTTTGTGGTCTTGGTTTTGCAATTTGTCTTTTGTAAATAATTGCCACAGTTAACAGTGGGCTGAGGTTTCCCTCAGAAGTCCTAAAAGGGTCAATTACATGAACTGTGTAGATGGCTGTTGCTCTAAGTGCGTTCCAGGAAACTATTACTCTGCTAAAGCATTTCACTGAGTCACTAAAGGTGTTGAAATATTTGGACACCCAGAACAGTCTCGATGTAGCTCCTGTTAAATAAAATACTAAATCAGGGGCATTTTTTAGTTACAGGAAGTCTTGCTTAAAGGTTTGCCAAACTGCAAACCTCAGCTGTTACTTTATTCGCATGAGCCCTATTAGGTGATAATGTATAATGGAGCCCTATTAGGTGATAATGTGTAATCCAGTCTAGTTGTAGGAGGTTCAACAGTTGTAGGATGTGTCTTGATAACGGGCAGGGTTTGCACAGCCTTCTGCTTTTAGATCGGGATCTGCTTCCAGAGCTGCAGAAGTGGGGCAGATTCCCTCCATGTCCATTCAGTGATACTTTAGGGCAGAAAGGGGCCAGTGATGAAGAGAGATTCCTGTTGTTATTTTTCATAAGGCACATGGCAAGGTTGGCTTTCCCAGTGTGGTATGTAGAGCATTTGAAAAAGATTAACTGCGGGACGGGGAGTTTGTCCTTTTTTTTATGACTATAGCAAGAAGAAACATAGGCTTGCTTCCGTTCAGTGTATTTACAAGGTAGGAAGGATGACAGAGAAAATAAGATTTCTTTTGAAAATCTGAGCTTCAATCCCCATATCTTTATTCTCTCCCTCCCCTCTACCCTGCTTTTCCCCATCCCTGAAGGAGGAGAAATGAGAGATTTAAGGCAACACTGAAAGATGGGGATAACACAGGTCAAGAGAGTTGTCATACAGAGTTCTGACTTCCGATCTCACATTCCTGACTGCAATGGAAGCTATTTCAGCTGAACCAGATTGAGTGGATAAGTCTGTTGGATGAACCAACTCTCTTTTAGAAATTTTACCCTTCTGTCAAGGAAGTCTTTCCCTGTTAGCTTCTTTAGGAGATGAGTATACTGGAAAATTGTTCTTTATTCCACTCCTTGATTAAAAATAAGCCAGAAGATGATGGAGCATTTACTTAACAAATAATAAAGAATTAAACAGTTGCATCAAATATCTTAAACTGTGTTATCTGCAATTAGAAAGGACACGTTGGTATCCTTTAAGCCATCTGATGTCTAGTGCCCTGTCCCAGTTCTGATTTTTGTTTTTCTCTGCACGTTTACTGTTTCCTTCCTGAATCACAGTAGTCCCTGTACTCTGATTAGCCAGCAGCTCAGCCCTGTGATATCTGTGAAATCAGAGACTTACATGTTGGACAGTTCTTGGCTAACCTCATTAATGGGGGCCTGGTCTGTATCTGGGTTGTACGTTTGGCCCAGAGAGGAGCTGTTTGGTGACAGAACCCTCCTTTGGTGAACAGCTCAGGTTGTGTGCCAAAGGGTGAAACACAGATGTGGCCTGATTCAGACAGGGCACGAGTCACCACAAAATTCTCATGTTGCTTAAAGGAGAGAAGGAAGTTACGGAATGCTGTCCAAACAGGGTAGGGAGATGGTGAGAAATTGAGACAGTCAAGGCTTTTCTCAGTATTTGGTCTACTCTTGTTATTCTGGATCATGATAGAAAACATGAGTCACATCATGCATCACCTGACCATGGGGAGAAGAGATCAACCTCAGATAGTCAGAATTGAGGAGTCTGCTTCAAGTTTGAGGAGGGAAGTATTAAAACTGGTCGGTGCCCAAAAGTTAACTAGTTGCACTGCAAAATACTTGCCTGTGTACCTGAGAGGCATTATTCCTCTGCCAGTTACTTGAGTCACAGGTTTCTAGCATCTGTCATTGGCTGGCCGTATGGCCAAAGGAGCTGAAACTTGTTGCAAATTTTGATAGAGGAACTAAATATAATGCTGTTATTTTCTAATATTTTCCCACATTCTGGTGACTTTAACGGTTCTCTTTCAGAAAAGGAAGTCTTAATTTCTCAATTGTCATTAATGTAGTACGATAATTCTGCTATTGCTGCAGGTTTCTTTTTGATCTCAGTCTGTCATTAAGTTCACTGTGGATCAAGAAATAGGATCTTAAAACGATTTTCTAGGGCTTTTCTGAACCCATTTGTGAAACCTTCATGAAGGTATTTGAATGCCTTCCAGTTACTTATGTAATTGAGAATTCTTGTAACATGAGCAATTCACCTGGTTGCAAGAAATAATTGTTTTGTCCAACCTTCTTGCTTCTGTCCCTGTTGATGCTTTGCATGTTCATCCAGCTCTTGAAATACTGATTGCCTAGCTCATTTTGTGAAGACTATGACCTGCTCTGTGTGAAAGAATAGTGTAATCTTTTATCTCTTAATGCCTAAAATAACATGCATTAAATAGATTTAAGTTGGAAAATGAAGCAGCAGCCTATATATCTATTTATATTTCCTCAAAATTCTGTAAGCTGCATATTAAATTTTCTGGTAGGTCTTTTTGTGTTAGTATCTCAATTAGGGAGGATTTAAACTGTTTTACGTAATAAATCTGTCTTGTCTGGTGTGTCTTGTGTGATTTCCTGCCATGAAACTTTGTGGGGAAGCATCTGAAAACTTTTGTAAGAAGATTCACAGAAACATCCTATACTGAGTCAGCAGTTCAGAAAAAAAAATGTTTATTAATTAGTATCCTCATTGCATTTATTACTTGTGCATAGACACTATTAAAGTTTAATGCCTACTTTTTGTTTCTCTGAGGTAGCAATGACTGACAGGGTGGAAAAAGGTCTCATGCATCTGATGGAGGTTATTTGCCTTTAGCTGAAAGAAATTATAGTTCTGTGGACCATTTTACTCCTAAAAGAAAAAAAAATAACATGTCGTGAATATGCTTTTATGTTAAAAGAATCCAAACAAATCTTTAGTGATGACACTTGTGGGTGTAATGCTGCAGTTAGCTAGTGACTTGATTCTTTAAGGACTGAAGATTGCAGATGGTATACTATGTAAGACCACCTACTGATTTGAGGTTGCTGCAGAACATGAGCAGAACTGAAGTAATGATTGAAGTACCAGAGCTGATTTTTTTGTTTTTGTACACTCATAAAATGTTAAATGCCTTGAAGCTTTAGTCCTGCTTGCACATCAGGTATTGAAGTGTCTAAAAGAAAGCACAGTGAATAAAGTAAAATTTCTTACGAGCTTCCAGCCATTGTCCTAAAATTCTGTGGGAGGCATGTGAAACTAGTGCCACCCCCAAGAATATATGCTCTCTGAACAACCTGGTACATGCTAAACACTGTGAAAAGCTTCAAGTTTATTTACATTTCTTTTACATTCTGTTCTGTAAAGAGCGCCACACTCTGTTTATCTCTTGTAATAAAGCCATATACTGCCAGAGAAGACCAGGGTTCCAGAATTCATTGGCTTAAAACTGAATGTCATGGATAATTGGCTCTGGTGTCCTCCTTTCTACCTTGCAGGTGACTTAGGAGAGTGTTCTGTATAGGAATATTTGGGAGAGGGAGGAGCAGAATTTAAGGTGTGATGCGGCTCTCTTTGATACATGCATTACTTAGTCCATCTGGATGTCTTAGTTTCCTAAAGATCAGATCATGAAGCATAGTCACACTAAATTGTTTATAGATGGGCAGCCATCTGTTCCTCCATATTTAATTTTGTCCTTCTGTGCTTTATTTCTAAGACACTGATTTGTTTTGGAAACCCTATTAGGAAATCATTTAACCTTTTCTTTATTTGTAGCCCAAGGCCAACAAAGTTTACAGAACGTCCTCGGCCTGGAGTCCAAATGATCTGTTCTTCTTTTAGTGCTGGTAAAGGACTTTTTTTCCTTCATCCCAATATGAGAAGTTATTTGGAAAGTAAAATGAAGTATAATACAGTTACTTTTGCATATTTCTTGTTAATAGGATTAAAATGAGTTAGTAATTTGGAAAAAATTGTAAATATTAAGGATAGATATTCACAATCTATGTATAAATTCTTGGTGATGGGGAAATTTTTGAAAGTGGTTAAGTATGAAGTAACGCTCTTATGACTGAAAATTCTTTCAAATAGAACATGCACCTTTTTTGAGAGTGAGTGCTAAAGTCTATATAAAGGAGATTCTTTAAGGGTTTGAATGAGGTGGTATGGATTCTTAGATTCTCAAGGTTTGAATTTCTATGATCCCTGGAAGTGGCACTTTGTAAAGAAAGCATTATAAACACTATAAAAGTCAAAAACAGAGACATATATTTTCAGTAGCTCAGTAAGACTGAGACCTCTATGGACTGAGTCAGAGACAAATTATTACGGATGGAAAAATTAGCTAATCCTATGTTTTTAAATGTATTCTTACCTGACAATAAACGTGAGGTACTTAGTGTAATCTTCAGCTACAGACAGATCTGAATTAAGATATGGCTATAAATTTAAATGCAATATTTTTAATAGCACAGGCATTAAAAGTAGTGTAATAACATTAGATCAGTCTTTTTTATGACTTGTTTGTCTGTGTTTTCTTTTCTCAGGTGGAATGTTTTTGGCCACTGGGAGTACAGATCACATCATTAGGGTTTATTTCTTTGGATCAGGTCAGCCAGAGAAGATATCAGAGTTGGAGTTTCATACTGTAAATACTATTTTTTAAATCACATATGTATTTGTTTAAAATGTATGGATAATTTGGAATCAATATTGATATTTCATTTCCCTTTATATAGGACAAAGTTGACAGCATTCAGTTTTCTAATAGTAGCAGCAGGTAAGTAAACAAAATGCTTTTTGACCTATTTTGGATATCTGCAAATACCTATTTCTGGAAGTAATTATTAAAGAAATCATCTTCTGCTTTTACGCTGATGCAGCATAGTCATCATAATGTCAGCAGAGTGTTTTTGGATTCTCATTAGCAAAATGAAAGTTTTACAGCAATATTTGGTGTAGTCAATGATTAAAGTATTTTGAATTTACCCAAACTAAGGAGTATTGTAAAATATTCTAACTTTTTCTTAAAAGATCTATACACATATAGATATTCGTATACAAAGTATGTATAAATACATATTTACTTTTTTTTCTAACTTACTATTGGATATAGTAAATGCTCTGAGAACATTTGTGTAATTAGTCTAACCTTTAACACTTCAGTGAAATTACGGATGTTGAATGTGAACAATGCTAAAGAAAATAATGGCTTCTTTAAGAAGTTGTGTATTTTTACTGTGATATGAATAGTTGTAATCCAAACTTCATTGTGCTCCATCCACCCTTTTCTTCTCCTTCTCCCCCTGCACTCAAAAAGGAGAAGAAAAAGGTGGAGGAGAAGCTGCAAGACAGTTGTTCAGATAAGTGTCATGGTAGTTACCAAGCACGCAGGACTAAGTTATTGAATGTTCACTTCAGTCTTGCAGCTCTCATGGCATTTCAACTACTTTGTCTAATCAGATTCCTTCCTTAGCTTTATGTGAGTTGGTTGCTTAGAATCTCATAGGGGTGTTATGTTCCCCTGGAGACTAGTGTCGTAAGGAGATAAGGAGCCACATGGATCATTGTACAATCATTTTGGAAAGGATTGGGGCAGGGAAGTGGCTTCCATTATTTGCAAGACTCTTTTTTTTTTTCATGTCCCATGCAGTATTTTTGGCCCAAACCAGCAGTACAGCATTTTGAAACTGTGATCAGACTTCTTAGTGCAGTTTACATTTTGAGTTCTGAGTTCAGGAACTTTTTACCTAGTTTTTTTTTTTTGTTGTTGTTGTTGTTATTTGTTCGTTTGTTGTTCTGTACAGATCTGCCTTTGGTCTCCTGATTAAACTTTTTTTTTTTCTCCATTTTGTTAGATTTGTGAGTGGAAGCCGTGACGGAACAGCGAGGATCTGGCAGTTTAAGCGAAGGGAGTGGAAAAGCATTTTGCTAGATATGGCTACTCGCCCAGCAGGGTAAGTAATATGAAATGTTCTGCTATCAGATAGATACTTGAAATTCATTCAATTCAAATATTGTGTGCTGACTTTGAAAGAAAAGTTCTGTTAAATGATTATAGATCGGGTATACAGTATATTGGCTTAGCTCTTTAATGCCAATGAAAACAAATATTTGACTACTTACTCAGCTCTGGAAACTAGCTTGTCCTGATAATAGCTCCACTAGTACTTTGATTAGATTAGATTAAAACATAATAGAAGTGTGAAACCCATCACAGGTGAAATTTATATTTTTTTTTAAGTAGGTATTTGTTTCTGGTCCAAAAAAGCCAAATCAAATCTAATACTGAGCCTTCTTGCATTTTAGTAATACTTGAAGTTATTATGGAATCTGCATGCTCAGAAAAGCAGTATTGAGTTAGTTTATTCTGCATGCCAGAGCAGATAAATTACTGGCAGTGTGATGTGTTCTCACTTGCTAAAATAATCTGAAAATTTACAAAGCTTTGTAAGTATGGAAAATTTCTGCACATTAGACCAGAATCTAAAGGGAAGGCTTCCCCAAACAATGTAAGAGACGTGAGAATGAAGAAGGGCTTTGTAGGAATTGTGGTTTAGACCTGTTTAGATTGCATAAAGAAATGTATTCCAACTGAAATAATTAGAAAGATTTTATGATTTAAGGCATAAAACTCTTCCCTTAATTGTATTGAATAATTTGAAGGGAAATATATAATGAAAAAAAAAGTATCAGGAGTAATGCTGAAGAGATAGCTAAGAGACCAAGAGAGCAGTGGAAGAGAGTGGCTAAACATGGTGCAATTTAGTTAGAAATCTGGATTAGAAAATGTCTTGTCAGTTACTGTCAGATGCAATAAAACTTAAAACCCTCATCTTAAATGAGAGTCTGTAGAACACTGGCACAGTGAGAACAAGGATGGATTTGATGTCTTTTGAACATATAGCCTATAAAGTCCTAGTTTTAACTGATCTTGGGGAAATAAGAATGAATCAGTTTTCATTATGGTCAGAAATACTAAACTTCTTTGAGACACTTAACTGTTTATTTCCGAAAAGCAGATTTAGCTGCAATCTGTTTTGTCTTTTAGCTAGAAGGATAAATGCAATTCGAAATTTGGTCTTGTCTACACATGCACAGTTTTATCAATGAAAATGAAATTGTTGCACTGAAAGGAAAAAATAAATTCAGTTTGTAAAGCTTCTTGGGTTTTGCATTGAACTAGAAAGGATTATGGTTTTATAACCACTTCTTGTATTATTGAATTGTGCAATATATAATATTGTTTCATATTATCATACATGGTATATTGAAGGTTCTGTATTTTGTGTTTACTTTCTTAGTTGTAACCTGCTTTTGAGGTTTTCCCAAAATTTAATGCACTAGAGAATTCAGTGGTGATATATCTTTAAATTACAGTTCCAAAAATATGATTCAGAGGTATCCTGATAGATTATGTTTAAAATGGCTAGTATTTCATATTCATATGGATTTTAAAAAAGTACAGGCAAGGTCTAGTTATTACTGATAGTAAAATGGAGTAAGGGTGAAGGTATAGTACTCAAAATGCCCTTAAACCTGTTAAACTCACAGGTATGTGAATACTTTTATCTGTGCCTATAACTGCCTAGTATAAATATTTTCCAAGACAAATTACTGTTGTATTTTTACATTTCAGTAAGCAAATACCAAGTAGAGCAGACTTGAATGTGTTACGTCAGGGATCATGGGGCATTATCTGGAAAAAAATATATTCTTGAAAATTGCTCTACAGTCATTGTTTAAGCAGATGTCTTTTTTGAGATATATGTTACCCAGTTTGTCCAGGTTCTTGAAAACATAATACCGATATCTTTATTAATGCAGCAAAATACAGAAATATTTTCATACTATGGAAATACTTGTATTTTTAGTAAACTAGGATTGCTTTGAAACTCTTCTTGCTTCTTTGTTTTAGACAAAGTGTACAGGGAGTTGAAGATAAAATTACAAAACTGAAAGTGACCATGGTGGCCTGGGACCGCCATGACAACTCCGTTATAACTGCAGTAAACAACATGACTCTGAAAGTGTGGAATTCTTTCACTGGCCAGCTCATTCATATTCTCATGGTAAGGTCTTCTGTCTTGATATATCAGTCAGTGCCGAATTTGTGTATCTATCACAAAAATTATTCCTTGTGTGTCCTTTTTGCCTGAAGGCTGCCTTAAACACTTCCCAGATCATTGAAATGTAATAGACTTATAATTTGCTGATTCCTAGAAAATAAAGCTTTTTTAAGTTCAAATCTCCATTATTGTTTGAAATGTCTGAAATTAATTCTGGACTCTCCCTGCTTCCACCCCTTTCAACCCTCCCCACTAAAGTTCTGTCTTGGAAGGAGAGAAGGAAACAATTTTTGCCACTTCTGGCCTTTATTTAGTGTGTCAGATGTTTTGAAATGTAGTTAATGAATAAAATTGCTGTGTCTGAAACATTTCTTATTACAGCCTCATCAATTCATGGATCCTAATAATAGTCCTCCAGTTAGAATAAATCAAATAACATTTATACTGAACTAAGTCTTTTTCAAATAGCTCCAAATAATCAGATACATCAGAAGATGAAAGTATTTAAGTAAAATGTTAAAGCTGGTAGTTTAAAAGTGTAATTCTCTAACTCTTAGTTAAATGCCTAGTTCCGCAAGTCTAAATACATTTCTAACTGTTGCTATCCCTAAACAAATTGAAATCTGTGAAGCATCAAGATCAAAAACTTCAAAAGTTGGTTTAGGCTTTCTGTGCTTTTTAAATTCATGGCAGAACTTTTGGGAGTTTTTTAATGTACTTGTTATTAAGTTAAAATTGCAACTGGAAAAAGAAAAGTGAAGTAGAAAAAGAAATATGTGGTCACAGTATGCAGAGGTGTATGCTGGGCACTTGGATGAGCTTCACATTGCAGTTCCCAGTGTTGCTTTATTGAGTTTCCTTGTGAGTATTTGAGATGTGCCTCCTGTTCAACTTAGTGTATCTTTAATTTCAGGGACATGAAGATGAAGTGTTTGTACTTGAACCTCATCCGTTTGATCCAAGAGTTCTCTTCTCTGCTGGACATGATGGGAATGTCATAGTTTGGGATTTGGCAAGAGGAGTCAAAATCCGGTCTTACTTCAACATGGTAATTATCCTGCATTATGTAGATATGCCAAAAGAACCTTTCTAAACCTTTTGCTATTACTAAATTCTTATGTAGACCATCTTGAAGCATGCACTGTATGGTAGGACACGATCCTGCAACCAGTGAGTTCAGTAGAGCAACTCCTATGCAGTTTAGCAGGGCAAAAGTTAAATCTGTAACATATTCAATTATTGGGGGTTTGGCTGTGTTCTGTAGTGTCATCTTCCTATATGCTTCATCCACATGGACTTGGAGTCTTTGTTTACATTATCAAAGATCATGCGTAAGAGACAAGGTGGCAGAGATCCTCCCTCAGGGCTCTGTTTCTTGTCTGGGGATCCAAGATGGAACCTGGCTTATTTTTGCATTACTAATTTTTAATCTGGCTAAAGCTCTTCAGGAGTCACCTGATCTCATGCAATGTTGTTGTGTGCTGCCTTGACCCACTGGACTGAATATTGTCAGCCTTTCTGTGTGGAGCTCCTCCACTTGCAGGTTTCAAATTTGGTCTGTTCTGCACTAAACTAATTCTTCTGGGAGATTAATGCCACAGGTATTTCCTTCTGTTTCTTAGTATTAAGTGGGTCTTTGATATACGTATGTTTTTCATCAACACGGTAGTGATGTGTTGTGCAGTTCAGACTTTGTCTCTTGGAGAAAGCTACCCAAAAGTCTATGTAGAATCTGAACAGTTGTTAGAATCTGGAGAATAAGCAAATGCACTTTCTTCCTGCTTCCAGCCTTAGTGGAGGAGTGGCAGTCCTGGAGACAAGAGGATATAAGATTATCTCAGGAAGAGCTCTGCCATAGCTGACATAGCAACTGTGGCAAAAGAAAATACGTTTGGAAATGAAGTCAGGCTACGAGGGGATCACTCAATACCCCCTGAAGAAAGATTTGACATGTGTAGTGTACAGGACAGATTTTTTTGAAGAAAATCTGCCAAGCTTTGGTGGGGAGAGAAAGAGAATTTGCAGCCTAGAAGGAGACTCCTTCAGCCCTGGCCTGGGTTCAGTGTCATTCCCTCTGCACTGATGTATGTAACTGACCTTATGAAGGGTCCGAGACAACCAGCTTGGAGCTGTGAGTACAGGGCTTCATTCCTCAGTGCTATTCACTGTTCATAACTCCAGTTCTTGTTGTCTGGTTAGGTTGACTTTCTGTGGCCACTCCTTACTGATGTATGGCAGTTTTCATGGAATTTAAGGTCATAAAAGCCTGAGATCACCTGCTCTGCTTTATAAGACCAAGTCCATATGAGACCTATTAAATAGAAATTCCTTACCTCTGAAATATTTAGCTGAGTGCTAAAGGTTGCTGTGTGGCACAACCGAACAAAAAAAAAGAATAAAAATGGTATATATTTCAGATTTATACAGTCAAAGAGAAGTGGGTAGAAAGTCAGAAGATCTCAGCAGCTAGTGACCTGTGCTTCATGCTGGAAATGAATGTGGAAAAGTCTGCCTGCAGAGCCAGGTGAGGGGATTTGTAGGTCTGGCAAGAGTTTGAATCCACCCACTGAGTAAGACACACCAGTTGTGTGTCTTGAGAGGCTTTTCCCTGCATTTGGGAATATTTCACTAGCCGGTCTTCCAAGCCTGATGTTGCAAAAGACGTAACTGGAGGGAAAGCAGTTTATTTAGAAGGCTGGGGGGCAATGCTTCTAGAACAAGAGGAAACATGGATCCTGCACAGGATTGGCAGGCTTCTTCTGGTTTCCTAACTAGCATATCAACCAGGAATATGGTTTTATTAGCTAGAATCAATTTATCTGATACAACTCTTCTTACACAACTTTCTGGACTTTCTCAGAACGTAATCTCATACTTCTGAAAGACAGAGATATTTGGGGAGTGAGAAATTTTTTCCAAATTGGGTTCTCTTTCATCAGGCAGGAAGTATGACCAGCAAGAGCCAAACCAGTGTTCTGAACGACATGTGATTTCTGATTTACCAGTCAGAAATCTTTTGTCATAGCCCGACAAGACAGTATCTGTGGTAGCTGAACTAGCTCTGGATGACTTTATCACAACAGATGCTTCTTTAATTAAAATGGCAGATTAGGGAGGTATTAGTTTAATTAGAAAAATCTTAAATAATTCTTAGCTTAGCAATAGCTAGCCCAGTCAGATGTTCCCATTTCTAAAGCCTTGTGGCAAATCCCTAAAGTAGAGTTGGTTATTTTTAAGCTCCCCCCAACCTGGGTTTCTTACTGTCAGCAGCATAGAATCTGAGTGATGCAGGAGATAGGAGTCAGTTTAAGTGAAGGACTTAATTCCTGATATCCATTCAGTGGATAGTAACCAAGTAGATTTTTCCCTGTAAGTTAAATACAAAGCAAAAAGTCTAAGTTTATTTGTGCTTTGATGGCAGATGATAGATAGATGCCACCAGGAAACAAATCCTGCAAAATATTTTTCTTGTTTTTCTGTTTTCTTAAGAATTACCGTAAAATCAATTAGCACAGTCATAATCTAATTTGAAGCCCAACTTGTCAGATTTTGGTGTGTGTAGTTAACAGTAAACTTAGCTGCGTGAGTGTCTTCCTACAGTGGGTTACTGTCTGTAAGCCGGTACCTAATAGTCGGGCACACTCACCCACGCGCACTCACACTCGCTCCGTGTTTTCATCTAGTAGCTTTTGCTCCAGCGACAGCGTGAGGTAATTCCTGTAAGTATCAGTGACACAGGTCACGAGTGGCTTAACTCTGACTTGAGTCAACTAGACTCAAGGAATGTATTTTTCCCTACTATTCCTTCCCTAGAGTGAAATTTGCCATAGGGATATCAAAATTAAGACAGGGCTGAAGATGTTTAGATGATTTTCAAGTGCAGGGAATCCAGGCTTGACCTTTTTTCAAAGTGGGTGTGCATCTACAGATTTTAGTATTGTTTTGCAGCCAGTGTAAAATCCCTAGCAGTCCCGACTCAATACAAGCAATACAAATGATAATAAAGAGTATGCTTTCTGTGAGATAAAAGAGTAAGGAGACATATATATATATATGTCTATATATATATATAGACTAAAACTATATATATATATATATATATAGTTTTAGGCATTTATTTTTTCCCCAAGAAGCATTGAGGTTGTGGCTTTGATGTTGAAATGCTGACATAATCTCCCAGGTACAAGTAAGTGTTTAGCAGACCTTCTGAAGGATTTGACTATTGTGGCGTCTAAATTTAGGTTTTGGTCCCCAAAGTGGTTTGGAGTGTCCCCCTAAAACTTCAGTTTACTTTACAGAATATTAGATGAGTTTGTCTCAGTGGATTGTCCAGGAGAAAATTCTGCTGCGTGGTGAGTTACCTAGTGATGAGAAGGTACATAGGTGACAGGTATTTGAAATGCTGCTTCTTACACAAAGCTGCACTGAGGCACTTGCATGGACTGGACATTCCTTCTGTGCCTAGGTGTCTTTCTAAAAACTGAGCCCTGGTGCCCTAAAAGGGGACCTCAGGAGTAGATGTCGGTGGTTCCCATCATCTACGATTACCTGTTGGCTAAGGTGTTCAGCTGGGAAATAGAAGACACTGGGTTTACTGTATTCTCATGAGTCAAGGTGTTGAATTCCACATCAGTCACTTACCCAGGAGGATGTCTTCAACTATAAATTTCTAGACTGCACATTTCTGTTAGAGTTGTGCCACTGCAGAGAAGCATGCATTGTGTAGCTGGTTGGTGTAGGTGCTTGTCCTAGGCTTGTGTTCCTGGGTGCAGAATTCATGGCCTAGGTAAATTAAAAAGTGGAAGAAATGGCCTTGGTTCCCTTCAGGCTTCAGGCAGGTTCTTGAATTTGCAATATATTTTAGACCATGTTGCAAAAGCTGTCGAACACTTATTGTTGAGACAGTATCTCTCTCTCTCTCTCCAGGTGTTCTTGACAAGTTATTTTTTAAACTGATAGTTTTAGGTGTGTTTGTGGGAAACGTTAAGATTGGCAGTCAGATGATGCGTCGTGCAGCTTCGTCTTGTGCTTGTAGCTCCTGTAGGCTTTGAGTCAAACTCTATTATAATAGCTCTATTATATGTATTATATGTACACATATATTATACGTATAGGGAGAAAAAAGCAAACAAATAACCCAAAAACAGCCTACAGGGACATAAGGATTTTCCAGATCAAAAATACAAGGTTAATATAAGCTTTATAAGGTTAGGTAGATGCAAACACGTTTTGTTTACTTGGTAAGTTTTTGTTGGTGCTGCACTCTGGGTGTGAAGCGCTGGTGTTCTTCGAATGTGGACCCAAATATCGTTGTGTTACAGCCCTACTCTTGGGTTTCCTTTGACTTCTGCATTTTCCCTTAAGCAATGTGTAAGAGGGTTGAGGTCTGCTGATTCTAACTGCTTGCTAAGGCAGAGACTCTATGCAGCCTTAAGAGTGGAGGCTTCTCCTACAGTAAAAGCTAATTACTCTTGCTTGTCCCATGGGCTTGCTGCCCAGGAGAAGTACACAAAAATATATTTCTGAAAGATTTCTTGATGTGTGTGAAAAGGCTGGTAGTTTACTGTCCTCCCTCTCCGCTGTTCTTGGGTAATTCTGTTTATGGTGTAGCTCTTTGAACAGCTGAGGGATCATATGGTACCAAAACAAGTGGAGGAGAGAAGACCAGGGATTTTTACAGTCATTGCTCCCATGGGATCTTTAATATTTGCACCGTCTTTGGTTGTGGCTGCTTTGCTTGGATCTGTTGCTGGATTCAGTCAAATAATGTAACGAGAGATTACGGTTAGTGTACCTTAAGGCTGTTGTACTATTTGACGAGGTCTTGCTGACCAGCCTCATAGACCTGAAGGAATCTTTGGGTAATGAAGAAATCAATCTACTAGGAATAGTGATGCCTTTAAATGAGAAGGGTTCTTCTGATTGACTAATCTTCCCCCTCAAAAAAAAAAGAAGAAAAAAAAAAGGTAAGAAAAGGGCAAACAAACCAACCCACTCAACCAAAAGTCTTTTCCCTTCTTGCCTTTCTGGCTTGGCTCCTGTTGCAGA